AGTCTTTATTTTTAATACTCCAGTGTCAGGTATGCAGTGCTATATCATTTACGCGTAATTCGCGTTGAACTCTGTCGGACAGAGAAACCTCGCTCAAAATTCAGCCGTGCCTAAGAGGTTAATTACAATCTCTCCACTGATACACACGCGATGATAAACACACGTGACTCAGTATATATAAAAATTCGCATAATCGACGTTCTACTGTGCCTACAGTATTTCCATATAAGCCATGTGACGTACCTGTATTCCCACACGTCGATTGGTGTTAACGCCATAGGTGTTACGTGCCCCAGCACAGTGCCGACATCCTTCCTCTCGAGTGCCATCACTTTCACGATCACACGACATACAAACAAAATCGCGTAGGTAATTCGGAATCCACTTGTCCGCGGAACACTTAGAAAAATAAACACGAGACGAAGCAAACGCGACGTGACACAAGAGCGGCACATATCCCTTGGAAGGGCAATGGCAGCTGGAAGAGCCGTGGGCAAATCTACCCCGCAAGGAATATCTGGATTTCTCTCCATCCTCTCGGTTTTCTTCCTTCGCTTAGGTTCTTCGTTAGCGGTTTCGAGGCTGAAGTACCGTGGAGTTAGCTAATTGGTTGGACGCCTCAGGCGGCTACTCCCGGAATCTATGAGATATCCGGAACCCTTCGGTCCGCCGCCATATTTCCCGAACCTTTGGTCCCGCACGGAAGGAACGCTTCGAGGACATTCCCGTGGAGTTTATCGCGAAAGTTTTCGCCGGTTGTCCGAGGATAAGGACAAAATCCGCAGATCTCACACGGCGACAATGAGGACTTCCCTAGACGATATCCTACGATCGTAATATAGTGCCACCGATTCCAGTGGCTAGAATAGCTGCGAGATACCGCGTTCCCTGTTTGCTAGTTTTAACCTTTGTTCTTGGGCTAGACGTCTTTGTAAAGAATTATTGCGAATGATTTGTTACACACGCGTTCAACGCTATATCCTGAGAGTGTCAGTCTGACAGTGTATATTCGGAACTGTGGTCAGTTCAGCGATAATTGCCAAGAAATATAAACGGGACGTATAGTGCGTTCGAGAAGAGATGGCACAGCGTGTTTGCACCCTCACGACGTTAGTTTTCTATTTCATAATAACTTTAAAGACTACACCGATTCTGCCATATCCTATCGCACTCGATCTTGCTATTGCTCACAGACGACCTACGTCACCCTTCGACCAATAGCGATCACTGCCTGTAATCGAGGGAGCGTTAGGTTAGGTTAGGTTAGGATGTAAACACGCTGCGCCATCTTTTCTCGAATGTACTATACTATGCGTGGCTGAAAAGAAGTCACTTACACTCTCGCTAGTAATACCCTCTCTTCTATGACACTCCCAAAACTACTAGCTCCAAGTTCAGCAACGTGATACGTTAACATAGGCGTAAGATATCCGCGGAAGAAACGTTATCTCAGAGTTAACTTACAATGAATTGGAAGCACTACTTCGCCAGGCAATAAACGAAACGACACCAAATGATTGGAAAGGATTTTGTAAACACGTAGAAACACTGGAACACGAATATTGGACGAAAGATGGAATAATAGAAGACGCAACTGAAGACCTAGAATTGGAAATACAAAGCAGAAAATATAAACGGGACGTATAGTGCGTTCGAGAAGAGATGGCACAGCGTGTTTGCACCCTCACGACGTTAGTTTTCTATTTCATAATAACTTTAAAGACTACACCGATTCTGCCATATCCTATCGCACTCGATCTTGCTATTGCTCACAGACGACCTACGTCACCCTTCGACCAATAGCGATCACTGCCTGTAATCGAGGGAGCGTTAGGTTAGGTTAGGTTAGGATGTAAACACGCTGCGCCATCTTTTCTCGAATGTACTATACTATGCGTGGCTGAAAAGAAGTCACGTTGCTTCGTTCGCTTTCTTTGTCACGTGGCGTTCTATGACCGGGCTAACAGGTAGGGATCAGTTCTATCAATAAGGGAAGCGTTTTACTCTACTTCTGCCATGATGTTAGAATGGTTGGACTAATGGGGATTCGGTCCAAGTTTCTCAGATGACTTCATTTCAGCCACGCATAGTACTCTTGACCGACTATATGATGAAAGATCTGTGACTGCTCAACGTCGATGCTCAAAGACGACTTCTAGAAGTGATAAACAGGACTCCTTGTATACAAAACTTGCATCCATTGACTCGAATTGGTTCGAATATTTTGGCTCTGGTCCGATCACGTGTCGCACAGGTGCAAGTGTTCAAATTATCCGCCATTTCTTGTTGAATGGCGAATAGTTGATCCCTTAAACGGTTTTGCCGTGACCACAGTCAATTCATAGCGGGTACGGCGAGTATATATGTGCCAATTACATAATGTCTTGTACATATGAATGTTTATGTTATATACCTTGATTCGCGTGGAGTGTTAGACATGAAATTAATGCGTCGTATTAATCGACTTTCAGTTTGTGTATGTACATGTCATGTTCGGTACCGGAGTATATTTGTGCTTCGATGTACTACTGTAATAACACTGTCCAACGAATTTGAACTTCTCCTCTGATCTGTAATATCCATTAGGTGATTCTTGTAGAATTTACTTTCCTGAACAAGAATCCGAATATCTATTGTAAATCTTCCAAGTTCCTTTGAACTTTTTCCAAAATTTTGTGGCAAAATTGTACTTTTTGTTTTGCAGACTGTTATATGTTAGTTCTAGTGCACTTGGTGCTGGGATTACGAGTAGCTACGGCACTGTCGAGGCTAGAGAAGCGAACAATGACTAATATTTTCTCAATTTTATAGACCTGAAAACTATTTCGACAATTCTGTTCTATGGTTTCTTCTTCAGTGAAGTCTACAGAATACGTTACTGTATGAAAAATTCGTATCAGATAAAGAACTTTCAGTAAAAATCAAGGTTACACTCGGAGACTTATTGTTGTACCTTCATCACCAATTATAGTTATTCAGAAGAACAAATAATTATAATTATGGACATTGATAGACTCGGAATGCTGTCACCTAACTTGTAAAACAACAATGAATACTTTTCATGTAATACTTCATTTTAACCAAAAATTGTGCCTTCTCAGAAAAACACACATTTTTATGGAAAGTGTAAGTAATGGAACAATTTCAATTACGGATTAATGTTCAAGGAAGTGAAGTCTATAATAATTACTCAATGGATATTACAGATTAAAATTCGTGTTGAACAGTGTATTTACATGTTTGTAGTGCATCAAAAAATTGGTACCACTTTGTGGTGGAGTATTAATAATAAACCGTAATGCTCAAGGGTATAACAAGTTGTCCGACCAGATTTACTATAAGCCTAATTATAATATTTCAAAGATCGATGGAATTCAAAAAGAAATGAAACTCTTTGAACGTACGGTATAACGTGAAAAATATTTGGAAAATCTGCATAATGGTCGATTAACGATAAAAATCAAATTAATTCTGAATTGTTGGATACACTTAGATATCTCACATACTGTTTTTTGAAAAAATAAATTTGTAAACTTTGTATTGTCTGCTCTAATTGTTATAAGTCCGATATTCTGTGTATTTTATTGAACAACGAATCGATTAAACTCTTACTCTTATTGTTTTCTTTTTAATCTTAAAATTTTAACGAAATTTTCTAGCATTCGATTAAACATGAATAATGAAATACTCACTACACGGAATACAAGTGAAACATTGTTTTATTTTCACAAAAACGACAGCAGCTAATTAAACAAATGTGAGAGCAAGGAATAAAAAGACAGCCTTAGCTTCAAAATTTGAATATGTATCTTGAAAGTTTGAAAAAATATAATATACTATAAAAAGCGTCATGTTAATTCTCTGTGAGGTCTCAGAGGTCGCTAGTTACCAGACATAGTAAGTTCTTCACTCGTTTACCATTGGTTAAAAATGTAGGGACTCGACTTTTTCACGAAAGTTTACCTGCTTCCAAACATTTCGTACATGGTTGTCTCGATAATTCTAATGCTAATAATTATTATTTGTCCTGTTTTGTTCTTAATAAAGAGTATACTAAACTATAACTCACACCCTTGTGTGAAATGTTAAAAATTCGTATCGTTTTCTGAAGATTATTCTTTAAACGATAAATTAAGAACTACGTAATGCATTTAAAATTAATTTTACAATTTAAAAATTGATTTTGGGCTTTAAATCATTATTGTCGATATATGCGAGTAATAATATCAGATAGAAATTCTTTACATCAAACAATGTTAAGCATCAAATTAAGATAAGACATGCAAAAATATAAATTACATAATATATATAAATTATTATATATTTTTCTGCTATTAGATTCTTTTGGTTAATACTTTTGTCTTATTACAATTCATAATTCTCTAGAATGTTCACGAGAGATCACAAATTTCAAAATATCTCACTTAGAAGATTACAAAATTTTCTTTATATTTCTAATAATTTGTATTCTATTTTGAATCGCAGGAAAATTGTAGTGGCTTTAAAAATGCATTACGTGTTAAATCTATACTGTAATTCATCTATGCATCTACATTTAGATATCTTTCTGTGGTCGATCTGTCAATTTATTAATAAAGAAATTGTAATAAATTAAAGAATTAGCAACTGAAAGAAAACAATTACTACAATTTCGTATACATATACTACAATTTCGTATACAATGTAATTGTGATTATTTTGGAAAAAATACTCAATCGTCATAATACTATACATAACCATAGTAATTGTACATAAAACCACCAGAATTCCAATACCAGTGTCGCCAACCAAGTATCAACATATGTTCTAAGTTATAAAGAGACATAAATAGGTAGACCTAGAATATGTCAATGAAAGACAGTAAAGTTAGTAACTGTTGACGTTAGCGTCATTTATGAAACAAAAAATATTTTTTATTATTGTATATTGTAAATTACTAGTAAAATAAATTTATTAATTTTAACGTGTATCACTTTAAATAAATTGAAAACTATCAGATTAATTACATTATGGGAATGAACAAATCATTATTTCTTATAACTCTTTTGTTAACTATACTCGTTAATAAAGGTATAATAAATTATTATGCAAGAAGTAAGTTAAACTAACTTCAAATATTTATTTTATAATGTATATTATATTTCCAGGAGAAAGCTTATACTGTTACAAATGTAATAGTAATCAGCCTGGGTGTGGCACACCTTTAAATTGGTTATGGTATTGGGGAGAAACTTGCCCAGAATATGATGATAAATGCATAAAAATTATTGAAAGGAAAGGAGGTAAATTTTTGTTATATGTTTCTAATACTCTGATACTAAAGAAAAGTAAATGTTTTGTTATTGATATATCAATTATGTTATTAAATATGTTTCAGCCGAAGTCATGATAACGCGTGATTGTTTAAGTTCTGTTCGTAGCTTTAGAACAGATATTCCAGCTGATCGATATGAAGGTTGTCGACCTGCTGCAAAAGATATGCATTTAGGACATTATGTAAATAATTCTATTTGGCAACTAGACATTCATAGAGATTATTATGATGAAGTAACATGGTGTTTTTGTTATTTTGATCATAGATGTAACAGTGCTGCTAGTAGTAATGTCTCAGTATTATTGTTATTATTATCTATAGGTTTTGCAATACAACAATTTGTAAAAGAGGCATTTACCAAATATTAGATATTTATATTAGAAAGTTTGACAAAGTTATGATTTTAAGGAATCAAATCAAGTGCATTTGCTTAGAATAATATTACAAATTAAGTTTATTATTGTTGTATATACTGTAAATAAGCACTTGAAAAAAGAAAATAACTATTTTTAAATAGCAACCAATAGAGATTAATGTGAATCATTAATCTTGAAAAACATTCAGTATATTGTTTCTATGTTTGTTAAGTTTATCACCAGAGAGATTAGTATAGTAGAAATGACATGACATTCAAATCTATTGACATTTTGCTATATAATATCTAATTGTGATATTCTCATTCCGTCCAAAAAATCTATTTACAAATTAGGAAGTAATATTATTTTTATATGGAGTATCACTATGGAAACATACAGATGTCAATTAATATATATGTACTATTCTTACTGCTAATAGGAAACTTTTCTTAGCAGATAATAAGAAACAATATTTAAATATGTCAGTACATTGTCATTCCGTCCATTGCTGAAAAGATTACTTCAAAAGCTTATATTACATATTGACATAATTTTTATATTTTTTTATTACATAGATAGCTGTAATTGATTGTATTAAAACTTTAATAAAACTTGTACCTTACCATTTATTGTATTTATGAATACCTGAATGAATGTCTAAATATTAAATTATAAAGTACATATTATGTATAATTTATAATTGAGGAAAAGGATAATTGAAAAATCACAATTATTCAGAAGCAATATATTTATTTAAAAAACACATTATGACAGATGAATCTTAAATAGCACACGAAGAGGTAACAAAACTTAAATAAAATTTATTTTATAATACAAAATGTAAAAAATATGATTGCATAGAAACAATAAGAAACTTAAAGGAATTAAAATACTTACCTAATCTGGGATATAATAAATATTACAAAATAAAACAAATCTTCTGTATAAGGTCAAATCATAAAATACAGTAAAGAAAATATACTTGTTGCTAAATGCAATCAATTTTATATCAAGTTCATATTCTATTTGCTTCGATTAAGGGATGGATTTACCATACCTATTTGGCACGGCGCTTTGATTTTGCTTTCCAAATGATTTCACATTACTTCTTAATACTAATTGCTCTGCAATTTTAGTTTTTGATGATTCTTTTATTTTGATTTTAATATTGGTTCATATCATGATATAATAATGGTCAAAATTCCATTAGGAAACAAATCCAATTTTAAATGATCATTAATACATTGCTTTGCACAATATTGTACACAATATTTTTGTACAAATTGCTTCAAAATCTAATATTCAATTTATATTTTTTTAGTATTTGCCTTCATCTATTTTACAATTATTTTAATTGTCACTTTTTCTTGAGTAGATAATTGATTATCTAAGATTCGTTAGAGTTTGTGTTTAACAGTTTATACTCTAAATCCTATGTATTGGTAAATATCTGAATTAACGAACATTCATAATAGTGATCAATCGAACAATAGTGTGTTTTCAAACCATTTCGCTAGCTAGACAATAACATAGGTAGCAGAATTATTCCTCTTCTACTCCAGTCTTCAAGTTATTTATCTTAAATACATTTCTTTTTCACTTAAAACTTCATCTTCCTTGTGACATGTATGGTATATAATAATTTTAATCACTTTTACTGTTTAAATATAACACAAAAATACAAATTGCCTTTTTAAAATTTAACTACAATTTAGATTCTTACATAAGAAAATATACACAATGTACATTTATTGTGTGTTGAAAATATAGTGGGGATAGCAGGAAACGAGTAACGTGTAAAATTTTCGGGATACCAAACTTTCCAAACGTAAATATCAATAAAATTAATGTAGATGAGAACACTATGGTTCAAAATATATGCTGACTGATCGAAATATAAATACAATTCAAATAATATGTAAAATATTTTAAACATTGTTTCTGTCATTTTAACGAATGAAAACGCGCGAAAGTTTGATAAACGCATTTGGATAAAAGACTGTGATCTCGAATGTTGTCGAACTTTCTGTCTAGCACATATTGATTAGACGTAAAATGTAATTTAATGATACCTTTGTCGTATGTAAAATTTCTAATCGTCGAAAAACGCCATTTTTATCATTTGCTAATATAATAATAATTATGCGTATTTATAAGTACTATTAAATATCATTTTATACACATCTTAATTTTAATATCTGGACTTAAGCTTTTATTTGTTTTAATTAAAATTTGTATTAATTTTTACATACCTTCGACAAATCCGTTAAAATGAAGTCTAACGTACATGTATGCATACTCGAATTAGAAACGTATATATATTCCGCGTCCGTTGTTCCTTAATTTTATAACGGTCATAATGAGGGACAAACGAAATCAAATTACTCAAATTAAAACTGAAGTCAAATTAATTGTTTAATTTCATAAAATAAGAATAATTTTATTTAACTTTATAAAATAAAAAGTTGTATAAATTTTATTTAAACTTTATAATTAATATTTAT